CTCTAAGAGAAGGGATCGATCACTTAAACTAAACACAAAAACGTTTCGTCCCTCCCGTTAAAATAATTCTCTCGCCTTTTAAATCTTTAAAAAATAACGCTATATAGTCTTTTTTTTCCTTTTTTTTTTTTTTTTTTTTTGTTTGTTTACCACCTCGTCAACCGACCGATTCTCTGATCCCAAAAAATTGTCACTGGAACACGATGTCGAAAGGTATCTTCGCAGTATCTCTACGATTCATGCAAAAAAATGAAATCCAAAAAATCTCTTTGAAAAAACATTATCATGCTCTCTTTCACTCTCTCTCTCTCATCCTCTCGATAATCGAAATATTCATTATTGTACACAGTTTTGCAAAAAGCTGTGGTTTCGAAGAGTGATTTAGCAGATTTAACGATCTGCTAAATCACGATAATTAATAATGTTACCTTAACAAGTTTATCTTTTATCCTATATAAAACTACGCTCGTTTGGGAGTATCTCATTCGATTCGATTTCTCAATTCTCGAATTTAATTTCGTTTCGGACAAATAGTAGCAGACGATTATATATATATATAGGCCATTCCCTCGACGATGAAATTATCTCTCGGCGTTTAAAAATTTCGGGAGGTAATTCGCTCGCGAACGACGAGGAAAATAAGAACGAAGAAGAGGAGGGGGGGGAAACGTAATAAACTGGTATCACTGGGACAAATGAAAAAAGAGGCGAGAATCGAAACTGAAATTTTGCTCCACACAATTATCTCCAAAGTGACAAGAATCTTAGGAATCGTGTCATTGACAAAGCGTTTTCTCTTCCAAAATTAACTTTTTCGTTTTTCTTTCGAAATTTTCAATTCTTTTTTTATTTATTTTTTTTTCTTTTCTGCAAAACTCTCGTGTCGAAGCAACTTTTAAACTTTCAAAATACTCTATCCAAAATACTTAATGGCTGTATGTAGAGAAGTAGTACAAGAATTTTATTATTATTCTCGTCTCTTTTTCCGATAATTATCCTTAACTCGCATACTCTGAATTTTCGTCAATGCTTCGAATTTCAAAAATTAATTCTAATCTCTCTCTCTCTCTCTCTCTCTCTCTCTCTCTCTCTCTCTCTC